ACCTATATTGTTCTAAAGCAGTAATGTAGCCTTGTGATTGGTTGGGTGAATACCTATATTGTTCTAAAGCAGTAATGTAGCCTTGTGATTGGTTGGGTGAATACCTATATTGTTCTAAAGCAGTAATGTAGCCTTTTGGTTGGTGGGTGAATACCTATATTGTTCTAAAGCAGTAATGTAGCCTTGTGATTGGTTGGGTGAATACCTATATTGTTCTAAAGCAGTAATGTATCCTCGTGATTGGTTGGGTCAGTACCAATAGTATTGTAATTAATGGAGCCTCGTGATATATTTCCACTTGTAGGACGTGAGAGGTGATTCAAGCATGTAAATTAAAACAATTTTGCAAGAAAATCCAAGGGCAGACATGGCCGTCCGCAAAAATGTTTCCAGGGGGGCAAAGTAGTGTGAAACTGTGAACTGAATGAAAAATTCATATACATAAGTTGATTGAATAAAGAAATAATTATGTTCCTCATTTTACAGGGGGGTACCCCCATCCCCCGCGAACGTCCATGTGGGCGGAAAAGCACCGAGAAAACAATTGGCTACTGAAGCTGCTCGAAAGAAACCTCATCGTTACAGTCAATGGTCTAGAAAGGGGGCAGAGTAAATGCAGTAACATAACCTGTGGTTCTCATGTTATAATTAAAAGAATATTCAACTGTAAACTAACAAATGCAGGGGGAGGAATAGATCCCTCCCAGGTCTACAAAGATCTAAATTCCGATTCCGACAAATGCGTTAGCTGAAATTCGTGGCGGACCTCTAGCAGGAAGTTAGAGAATGATCTTCCTTGTAGTGGACACTTAGCAGAGTGCTCTCCGGTTGCTTATCGGTAAATAAGAAGTCTTATAGAAGGAAAAACCGTGTTTTTCATACCCGTGGTGGGCACAACACAGGTAGCCTATTCATTGTGTAGCTTTGCGCTTAACAACAAACATAGTTGAACAACGGTAACTCAAGTCACAAAGGTACTACTTAAGGCACTCGTGTATATTAATTTTTCAGGCTTCCAGTATCGCCAGGCATAAACGTTCTACATACGTGAAATAAATCGATCCATTTATCGGGGACATCAAATGAAGCTTATCATTCATATTAACTTAAAATAGCGAAACTTTATCGCGTAATAAACAGTTATGATGCTAATGGTGTTTTGAGGTTGTTTCGCTTCACCATATAGTAACCAAAATTAATCTAGGTATGTGAATATTGTTATGACATTTCATTTATTCACTTATTAAAACCATGTTTATCTGACATTCCACACGATGGCGCTACTTGTACAAGTTTGAGTGATATTGAAAATATTAATTTCTTCCGAGTTCATTATCTCGTAGAAAAATTCGTGCAGAGATCCTTCCATGATAGCTTTAAAATTCTAATGAATATAATTCTCAACAAACAAGATTTACCTTCTTTGAGGAACTAAATGTTTCACAGTTGTTAAGGGTGGAATACAGAGAAAAAAAAAAAAGTTAGAAATTCCTACCCTAGAGCCCCTTAGTGGCACAGCGGTATGTCTGCGGACTTGCAACGCTAGAATCCGAGTTTTGATACCCGTGGTGGGCAGAGCACAGATAGCCCATTGTGTAGCTTTGTGCTTAATTACAAACAAACAAACCTTCCCCAAAAGGTTAACTTAGGAAGTCTCCCTGCTATGTTTATTTTGAAATTTATGAAATAATTAATTTTTCTATTTGTTTTTGTTTCGGAACTAGGCATGAGTAACGTACACACGAATTGTGAATTCAATAGCTCTTGGCTGGTGTCTATTTGTCGCAAAAATGTGCTCCATACCTTGGGGTCTTGAATGTGCTATCAGAATGATGGTCAAATCTCGTTATTTTTCCCATAGAAGAATTAGAATTTTATATTTATGGTAAAGCTACTAAGGTTATGGGCTGCTGCCTCCTAAAGTTGAACCACTGACCATAGTGAAGGTGATGAATCCACATCATCTTACCATCAAAATCAATGCTAAAGGATTGACTGTCACTCTTAACACACCTACAGCTTTAAAGTGTGGGAAATGTATTGTGGTATCCAAGGAACTCAAACCTGGCTTGCTAGCTCCAAACTCCAGAACTTTGCTACTGGACCAAGTCGCGCACCACCAAGATAAGAGTAGCCCAAGTATTAACAGAGGATAATGTTTGTAGAGAATTTTATTATGAAGAGGTTAAGAAATCATCATTCGTTATTAAAGATACTGATGCATGTTACTACAATTTTATTATTTTGTTTATTCTAATAAGATATTTTTAGCCATTATTTCCATCTGTCATATAGTAATTTCTTTAATGAGGTTCTTAACTTTCCTGGACTTCCAGGCCTAGCATGGGTTAGGGCTCTCATCTTTGTGGGGTTGAATCTTGTTACTGAACATACCCTTTCAGTCGTGGGAGAGTTATAATGTGATGGTCAATCCAACTTTTCATTGTTAAAGAGTTGGCATGGATGGTCTTGATTAGTTAAGTTCTCTCTCTAGTGTATCGTTTCTGAATGAGGGACAGCTAGTGCAGATAGCCCTTGAGTAGCTTTGCACAAAATTCAACAACAAAAATAAAGCATTCCGGACTTCTGGAGAACACAAGCACCGCGTTAAAACTTTGTGTGTTATGGTAAGTCAGGGAAGTTGACAAAGATAGTTGAATTACATACAAAAAAATTTTACAGCAAACCTTTTATTGGGTGTAGGTTTGTTGAAGTTTTAAAGTAACATACAAATATCAACTTTTTCGTGATAAAGGGACAGATGAAATAATAAAAATTACTGGCCTAACCTCAAAAAATGAAGTATTTGAAGATTTGAGACTCAAATAATGATACTTCCTTTGCTAAGGTATTTGAACAATATTTATGAAAATTGGCAAACTCCACAAGTTGTTTTTGAGAAATTATAATATTGAAGGTTTGATACCCAGAATGTATGCCCGGTAATCAGAAGCTGATACGAGATTATTGGGTCGATTTTGATGATATTGGAATTGAGTAGTTATATCTGAAGCACGGACCTACGGATTGTTCGAAGTATTGGATTTTTGTCATGACAATGGTTTAAAATTTATTAAGCTCGAAGTGATACTGTAAGACAGGCCTCACAAACAATGTTTATCAAATTGTTAAACTGATGATAATACTCTGTCCCAAACTTTGCAAAGATATTTATCAAAAAAGGCAAACTAACAGATTCATAGGAACTATATACTAATATTCCAGTTTCGGTATCTAAAATAAAAAGGTTCAAAACTTTGGTGATGAGACATGTTAATTTTTAGTTGCAGTTTCTGCACATAGTTGGCTAAAATGTTGATTTTGTTAAGATAATTTTTATTAAATTATTTATAATTTAAGCTTAGTTAAATTTTTTTTGTTTTGCTAAAGATGGTTAAACGTATGTAATTTCCATCCTACATGTCTTGGCAATTTGTATTAAGAATTTCAGAACTATTGTGTGACAAAAAATTTATCCCTCTGGGACACCGAAAAGAGGGCTGCACGTATAAACTTCAATTTTGTTCTAAATAATAAAAACAGAAGCACGTTTGATAAGTGAAATTTTGAGCTTGATTTGTTTTTTTGTAAATTGCCCAGGAAACTGCTTACACTCCCCAAGTGGAAGCCATATCCCCCACGCCACCGTATGAAGACCCTCGGCTCAATCAGCCTCCACAGAGGTCATCCAAGGATGAGTTACTGCAAGTGATTAATAGGTTAGATAGGGAAATAGCACAGGTGGAATCACAGATGACCAACCTCAGAAAAAAACAGGTGAGGACTGTATGGATCTGTTCTTATTTTTATATATACGTTCATCTTATGCATACATATGTTCTTTAGTATCAGAACCTGAAAACGGGTTAGGAATCGTCTTTGGGTAGGGAGAAAGTTTTACAGATAGATTTATTGAATTTTGAAAAGGACATAAATCCAAATAAGATATAACAGCAGAAACTATATAGCATATCTAAAGACCTTGTATTATGGAAATCATCATTTGATTTTTTAATTTTGATCTAAAAAAACAAAATATGAAACTTTAATGTTGGGCAGAACACTCAAGGAGGTGTTGAAATGTTTAGACCAGTGGTTCTTAAGTTGTGGTCCACACTCAAGGAGGTGTTGAAATGTTTAGACCAGTGGTTCTTAAGTTGTGGTCCATACTCAAGGGGTATTGAAATGTTAGGTCAGTGGTTTTTAAGTTGTGGTCCACACTCAAGGAGGTGTTGAAATGTTTAGACCAGTGGTTCTTAAGTTGTGGTCCACACTCAAGGAGGTGTTGAAATGTTTAGACCAGTGGTTCTTAAGTTGTGGTCCACACTCAAGGGCTATTAAAATGTTTAGACCAGTGGTTCTCAAAGTGTTTTTTTTTTATACACTGTATCAGTAATCAGGTTAATTCAACTCAATAGAATAAATTTGTCATTTAATATTTTGGTTTTTTTCATTAAGGTCTCAGTGTTCAAGACAGTATGAATAACAGACTTAGAGTAATTTAAATTACCAAATGTTTGTAAGCTTTTTTATTAAATATTTTATGATTTAATCATGTCATTCTTTCATGGTACCCTACCCCTAAGAAATACTTAAAAATAATAATAATTAAAAGTCAGTAGATTTGTGCCCAAAAATACAATTAATAGTCACTATTATTAGTAAGAAGCTGAATTACTAGCTTACTCTATGTTATTTCACGTTAACCTCTCATTACTGACTGTTTAACCCCAATTCACGTTAACCTCTCATTACTGACCAGTTCTGTAAATCAAAACTTTTTCTTTTTGAGTAGCAAGAACTGATTTTAGAAGCCAGCAAACCTACGGATACAGAACAAGATGTCCAAGAGACGTCAAGTTTCGAACCAAAACAACTCAGTATGGCCCAGCTTATATATTCAGCAAATAGGGTAAGTGCAGATTTTTTGTCCAAAAACTACTATTGTGACAGTTCTGTCTTAACCCTTTCATTACCATGGACACGTGTGGTGCTCAAGAGAACTGTTATGGGAGTTTTTATACTTCTGTGAAGAGAGGGTATTACCCTCTAAGATTTCTCCAGCTTGCGAGTTTTGGATATTTAAGGAAATATTAAAATGTCTTTTTTTTTGGTTTTGTTTTTTACTGTGTAACTAAAAATAAACCTGGCACTGGATGGTTGTTTATCTATAAATATGGCATTGAGGATAAAGATCTTGATAAATATAGAATCTAAAAGGTAGATGTGTTCTAGAGATCTGACATTGCCTGTCTCACAGGAGGAAATATTATTATTGATGTTTTTTTTTATTATTCGACTCCTTTTAGAAAAAAGCTCAACAAGCCCATGGTGTTCTTGAGAAATTAGGTCCAAAATTAGAACTGGTAAGTAAACTTTTATTGGGATGTCTGGCTGAGTTTTAAGGACCATTTGACACTTAAAGGTTGTCATTGCACATCCACCCTTGAGAAAAGTGAAAATGTAAACCCACCTTTTATTTTTCAGGAAATCACTGATTTCCTCTTCAATTCCTGCATGTTGCTGAATTGAAAGTTTCAGCCACGGCCACAATTGTCAAATACAACCCATTCCTCTCACAAGAATTACCTCTAACATATCAATGCTTACTAGTCTCTCTTCTCTGTTTCTAAGTCTTAACCACCAGTAATTGTACGCTTAACTATAATGAAATTATTTCACAGTGTACAGGTTAATTGCTTATTGACTAACACTGATAACCAGTAATGCAGCCACTGTTTACATCATGTTTGTAATTATATATAACTAATTGCTAATTTATATCATTTACCAACCCATTAAATTATCAATGGTAATCAAGGAACAGAAATAATAATTTGAAATCATAAATATATTTCCTTCTTTCTTAGCTTAGATTGTATTATATTAATGCATTGGTTTCCCAAAGTGTGGGAATTATAAACAATCCCAGTTATTTGAGTGATAAATTGTTATAGGTACTTTTTTTTTGCTTGCATTGTCCCATTAGGTATAAATTAAAATGAAACATCCATGCCCAGGTAAGAACTGGTGAATTTTAATTGTGTTCTTTCCAAAAGTTATGAAAAATTTTCAAAATCATGTCAGTTAGGCCATTAAAATAGTAGATGTAGTCCTGTTTTTTAGTGGCTAAACTTGACCAATTTGATTACACTTGGCTCGGCTCAGCTCTTAAAATATTCGTAAACTGTTTTTTAATACATAACATATTGTTCTATCTTCAGTTATACTGCTGGTTTAAATGTTTGTAATTTCTCCATGTTGTGGTGTCTAAACTTTAAGATACAATAACCTTTGAAAAGTTGCCCTTCAATAAATGCGTACTAGAACCTTTATATAAAAAGTTGTTATACGCTAAAGTTTTTCTTATTTCTTTCAGCCATTATATAATCAACCTTCTGATACTGTTGTTTTCCATGAGAACAAAGGACAGTAAGTACAATTTCTGGTAATAGATGTAATATTTTAACAGCTGGTGTAGAACTCAAGATACGTTGATAAGTAATCATCTAATTTTGCTGTTGATGAAGTTAAAATTCCATTATTTTTTCTTTAAGTCTTGATCTTAATATCATGATATAGCAGGAACGGTTCGACACGATATTGTAAATAATATCTTCTGTAAGGAAAGGAAAATGACATAATTAGCAAGATATAAACTTTACTTTGAAAGAATCAAAATCAAGGAGGAACTTAAAATATCGTGATGGTGTGTGATTTTTTTCCATCACCCTGTATTAGGAAAACCTATATATAATAATTAACATAATATAACGAAAATTTCACATCTCTCATTAAGTTCGATTCACTCGTACTTTACGTTATTTCATAACATTGATTTTAATTGTTTTGCAGCTACTTGCAGGCAGAGTTTAACAATGTTTTAAAATGTTTTTGAACAAATAAGATCTTTCAATATTGAACAATAACTTCTTTATTGTAGTTTTTCATCTTTCAAGAAAGACTTGATAGTTCTTTTAAAGAAGAAGCAGGAAGACCGACAACAACGGGTACGTATTAACATAGTGTCTCGTATTGCACGAGATAACTGAATTGTCTTTCTGTGAAATATCTAGAAAGGTTCCATGATAAATATATTTTTCCCGTGAGATTGGGGTCTGAATTTATAAGGATATTGAACAGTCTGTGTTTGAATGCACCAGTATAGTCATGATGTGTCCTAAGTTAAAATGGTTAAACTTTTTTATTTGAATTAAAAATTAAAAACTTATTTTAGATATGTATTTTGAAATTTGAAGATGTTTATGAAACTCGCTTATGAACTGTTACTACAGTTCTTATGTTTTTGTCAATATTTCATCCAAAGTATCACACGAAAGAACAAAGTAGGTTTTAAAAAGAAATTTTGGGTTTCAGTTGTTTTTTTAATTGCACATAAGCCTGAATCCTAGTCTTCATAGGCAAAGATACGAATCAGCCTAATTCTAAAGTTGAATTGTACTTAAAACAGAACTGCATAATTCATAGTCAGTAAAATTGTATAAATTATTCAAATATAAGACGTTTTACTTTATTTGAAATGGATTAAATATAATTAAAAATTGATTCTTGGCTTCTCTTTTCTTAAATCTATATATTATAAATCAATCCCAGAGGTCTATGAACTTTAGATACATATCGAAGATTCTATCAGTATCACCAACGGGGTGTTATGAGATGCGAATACCCAACCCCCACCCCTTTTTCGAATCTGAACTGCATTTTGATTGATGTTATGAAAAATGTAGTGATGCAAAAAGTGCATTAAAACTTTACGTTCATTATTTCTTTCATTTGCTAACGTGTTTCTTCTGATACGAATCACGTACTGGACTTTACCGACTCTTGGCTTACTTAGGCCTTTATTGATCTCTTAAAAAAAATGAAGAAGTTCTGCTAATTCTTGTTTAAGAGGTGACGTACTTTGTTATTTACTGTTAATAATTTGAAAGTACCCAACCTCGCAAAATATTCAATAGTACTTTAATCCTGTTTTAGGAAAAATGATTTATTACTGGTTCTTAAAAATATGCTTATGATCAATTTACAGTTTTAAACTTAAGTAGGAATGTTACTGGCGAGTTTCAAAATTAAAACCTTCTTGTACTTTTAGTTGAAGGAGTTTATCATGAAAACAACAAAGTATTGGGTTTACACTTGTACTTATATTTTTCAAGTAACGAGTTGATAACATTTGAAATTTTCTGATTTTTAAATTGAGAGAGCAAAGGATTGTTGAGCAGTTCTTAATCTCAATCCTTCTTTTCCTTTGTACAACAATTGATTTCTTTAATTCTAAGTATACTGTAATTACCAAAGTGACTGGTTTTGTCTTTGCAGAAAGTTTAATACAGGCTGATTAAGGTTTCCCATTTCTTTCATAAAGGAAACATCTCTTTGTGTTTAATTTTGAAAATCCATTTTCGTGTATGTGTGTTAAGTTAGTTCACTTAATCAAAGCCTTGTCTGGACAGTTGCTGCAGGATACAAATAGAGTAAGTAAACTGAAACAATAGTTCATCTGGAATTTGAAACCTTTTAAGCCTTAGCCACGTAGTGAGGACGTGCTCCCTTGGGAAATCACATTGCCTTTGTCATAACTGAGCAAATAGCGATCAAGGCAGGCAGGTTAGTGCTTTCTAATTGAATGTCTCTTTTGTATCTTGTTCCTCAAGCATGATGAAAAGACTTATTTACTGAGTAAATCAATAACTTTGTTTATTTCGTTCTTTTAGGAGACTTATTTAACGGAAACTTACAACCGATTAATGCAAGCATGGCAACAGAGAATGGAAAAAAAAGATAGTAATATTAATAAGAAGTGAGTATTCTTTAAGCTCGGAACTTTCATATCTGAATAGGATTCAGCCCAATCTGTTAGTGTATTTTATTATGTGGAATAAGTAGCAATATACACACACACACACACACACACACACACACACACACACACACACACACACACACACACACACACATAGTGTTAAATAAAATTTAGCTATTTAATTGTACATATCTACTGGAGAAATAAATGGTTTTAATCTAGAGCTCGGTATGAACGTACTGCCAGTGTTTTACTTTTCTATTCTAGTGTTAAATATACTAAGTCATAAATACATGTTGAAATAATTGTGAAGGTGTGATAATAAGATAGATAAAAACCTAGCAAAAAAGTGGTGTCTTCCTAATCTTGGGAAATTTGATTAAATGATACAAAAAACATTTTTGTACAAAGTCATAGATATTAACCAGCAATGGGTTAACATATATATATTTGTATATAGAACTGTGACAAATATATATAAGATAGTGAGGTGTTTAAAAAAACATTCTGAACAGTTTATGTGTGAAGAAAAAGAAAAATCCAGATTTTTATTTTATCTTCAATGCAAGTTCATAAGCTATTTTGTACTTGTACAGTGTATAGTAAGTAAATGTTTTCATAGGGCCAAAGACATGAAACAGAGAGAATTTTTTGAGAAGCAATATCCTGAACTTAGGAAACAAAGAGAAGAAAGAGAGAGATTGTCTAGGGTTGGGCAGAGAGTCCGGAGTGATGCAGAGATGGAGGAAATCATGGATGGCCTACAAGAACAAGAAGTAAGAAAAATTTTAAATGATCTTTTGGAGATTTTCTTTTTAATGAAATATTTGAAGCTGTACAAAAAAAAGGTTTTAATATCAAGAAATGAGATGTTTAGAAGTGAATTTTGAGTTTGCAATAACATTTTTAAACATTCTTTTATTTAGTGTTCTTTAGTAAACATTTTGTGTTCTTGTGTCATTGATATTGCTACAAAATAGTTATATATATAGTATTGGAAAGTAGTTATAGAAAGTGTTGGGAGTACTTATGTAGATGATAAGAAAAAAAAAGGACATAAAAGGCAAAATACTACTCGTTCTTATTGTGTTAAAATGAATTGCATTAAGGAAAAGTCAGGTGATAATATTTTAACACCATGGTTTATTATCACCCAACTAATCGGAAAGTGTGGCCCAGTATAAAGTATATAAAACTACTGACGGTCAGTCTATGCCGAGTAGCAGTGGTAGTGTAAAGTCAATCCTGGCTCCCACAAGTTTTAGCATGACTACTGACAGTCAGTCTATGCAGAGTAGCAGTGGTAGTGTAAAGTCAATCCTGGATCCCACAAGTTTTAGCATGGAGTATCTTTGAATAGCCAGTAGCTTGATTGATATGTGATTGTAATGTAGTGTTTCAGTCTTAGGAATTGCATGTGAAAACAGCATTTTTAATAATAATAAGGTGGTGAAGGTAGAAAACCAAAACTGTCCAAAAGTTAAGTATGTATGTTTTTTTACAAGATAGGCTATACTTGTGTGTAGATCTTGTTAGTAAATACTGTTGTAAATGTTACCTTGAAAATGGTAAGATACAGATCAGAATGAAGTGGTCTCAATGACAACTAGCTGCTCAAAACCCACTGTATTGAAGAAATAACCAAACCTAAAGGTTGAAACGGTCATCAGACTACAAACAGTGGAATAAGAAAAGCTGAAGATGTGTGCTTTTTATGGACGAATCCAAGTGTGACATATTTGGCAACAGTCAGTAACAATTTCTTCAATGACTGAGAGAACATTATACACATCATCTATAGTGAAGCATGATAGGAGGATCAACAAACGTTTTGAGCTGCATTTTTGTGTCAATGATTTGACTCTGATTGTTGATCCATCAGGCAGCATTTCATCTTCCAGCAAGTCAGTGATTCATCAGGCAACATTTCATCTTTCAGCAAGTCAGTGATCTATCAGGCAACATTTCATCTTCCAGCAAGTCAGTGATCCATCGGGCAACATTTCATCTTCCAGCAAGTCAGTGATCCATCAGGCAACATTTCATCTTTCAGCAAGTCAGTGATCCTAAGCAGTACCTCGATGGTAAAAAGAGGTCGATGAAACACTCGTAACCATAGCTTGGCCAGCACAAAGTCCTATTGTAAATATTATTGATAATATATGGACCTATTTAAAACCGAGTGTGTCTAAACAACTTTGAATTGCGGGGAGTAATACAGGACAATATTCTCCATGGTGAACTGTATGACAGCATGAAAACAAGGTGGTTCAATGTCCTGTGTAAAGCAAAATAGTTACATACAAAATACTAGTGCATTGTACAACTTATTTGCCCTTTTTTTTTCTTTCTGTGATAATGTTTTGTACTATTAATAAGTTCACCATATACAGAGGTTGAGTACGTTATGTTAAAATGATTTTGAAACTTCTTCATGTTGTTACAGGTCATGTCATGTCTAGTTGTGCACTACCTGATGCACATGCTACTTGACAGTAAGCTTGCAGCATAATTATAATTGAAAAAGGGCTCTGTCATAATGTTGTCATGTTCAAAGCACACCACACTTTCCTGAGTGCTTTTCATATAATTCATCTAGTGTACAAGGACAGTGGGTTCCTAGCATCTGTTTCAGAAGTGTGATTGCATAGAAATACATAGGCTCTGCATATGTCTACTTGACCAGTATGTCTTCATGTATAATACCATCAATACCTGTTTCATTGTCAAGCTATTTGAGGTATGGGAAGGTTGAAGGGATATGTCATGGAAACAACTTGTGCCACTTTTCTAGATGGAGATCCTTCTTGATTTTTGTGTACTGTTACCTGGAACATTTGGATGGCTCTTGTCACTGACTTTTGTGTTTATGGATTCTCACCTGTTACAAGATGCCACGTTTTGCTTATCATGCCTGTGGTACAGTTTGTTGCAATTCTATTTCTAGAAGGTCTTGGTACCCCAAGTAGATACGTGTTTCTTTTTCTCTTTTCCAGTGCTATTAAGTGCAAGAGATATCCTTGTTTTGGAAGCTATAAATTCCCAACTTGAATATATCTTTATGGTCTGAATGCATGAATAACTTGTGTTATAAAGTGTTGTTACATACCCTTTGCAAAAGCAAAAACCTTTCAGTAACATCACACTGCCTATGAAATGCCAAACGATATCAAAACGTAGTTCTTATACATGCAATTCCACAATGTCTTTATCTCAGCTGTATTTGTTATTACATCAGTTGCTGATTTGTTTCTTCAAAATTGTTTTAATATAATGTACTTAATGCTCTGTAGTTGATATATTCATTACTTGTAATCTCTTTATGTATATTACTTTAATACGTTTCTATAATTATTACTTGTGTGTTTCTGATTTTTGCCTATGAAGTAAGATATATGTATATGTGTGTGTGTGTGTGTATATAACTCCAGAGTTAGTTGTTGCTTATTGTTCAGTATGCCTAGGCAACATTTTTTCAATACTGACCTAATAGCTGTGAATAAAAAGTACCAATAGGTAAATGTATAAGCCTTAATTATACTGATAGAAGCTGGGAAAAAAGGTATAAAATTTATATAATTCTTGTTAAGTAAACAAAATATTTTGTGAGATTTTTATGTTCCCAGTGCTTCACGAGGCATATTGATTCCCCTGTCCATCCATCCTGATCTTATGGACAGGATATCTCAAGACTGAATGGATGGATTTTGACCAACGTTATACTACAGGTACTACAGACAAAGTTCTATACCATATTAGCTTTTGAAGGTCGTAGTTTAAAGGTCAAGGTCAGTTACATTGGAGAAGGCTTAAACATACAGTATAACATTAGTGGTGGCATTGGTGTCTCATAAATCAATTTACACTTCTTATATTGGCTTTCTTATTTTACTGTTTATAGCTGGAAGATAAGAAGATGAAAAGTTATGCAGTGATCCCACCAATTTTGATTGATCAACGACGAAAGAGGATCCAGTATATTAACAGGAATGGACTGGTAGAAGACCCTATGGCTGAATATAAAGAAAGACAGATGTTGAATGTTTGGATTGACCAAGAAAAAGAAACCTTTCGAGAGAAGTACCTCCAACATCCAAAGAATTTTAGTTTTATAGCATCCCACCTGGAAAGAAAGGTTAGGGTTTAAGAGTTTTAAACTTGGGCAATGGCCACGACTTGGTATGTTGAAATGGATTGTTAAAATCTTTATAAGATCTTTGATCAAATGATTTTGTAATGATGGTATGTTATCCAAACAGTGTCTTTCTTTTTAAGGTCTAATTTTAAGACAGTCAGGAATAAAAGCAAGAAATGTATAGAAATATTTTGAAAACCCAGTATTGTACCTACAAGGCTAAGTCGTAGAACTTTTGTTATCGTTATTGATGTATTAAGTAACTTATGCTATTAATCGTGTATCCCACGGATTAGCTGGATGGTTCAGAAGTATAAGAAATTAGAAGTTCATTTTTTATACTTATACCCAGAGTTGTTTACAGTTAATTATGCTTTAGAATTTTATTTTATGTACGATGTTTGGTAGAATTCCTTGTGCGAAGTTTGCTAGAATAACGTCAGTAAACATGAGTAACCATGATGAAATTAAGTTGAATAGTCGACAACTGCCTGTTCTAGAAATGCAAGTGTAGAGGACGACGTTTCCAAAGTCTTCCGCCTTTCGTCAAGAATTTCAAAACGTCGTCCTCTACACTTGCGTTTGTACAACAGGCAGTTTCCATCCGTTCCACTAGTTTCATCGTGAATACTCTGCCGAAACAATCTATCAAACAATGAGTAACCATAATCTTAAACTTTTGTGGAAGCAGGAATACAATATGCAAGAAATATACTGAACAGATGTATGTTGAAAATGGTGTGATTGTTTTGGTGTTAGATATACGCTTTGTTGGTTGTATTACAGTGATATACGCTTTGTTGGTTGTATTACAGTGATATACGCTTTGTTGGTTGTATTACAGTGATATGCGCTTTGTTGGTTGTATTACAGTGATATGCGCTTTGTTGGTTGTATTACAGTGATATGCGCTTTGTTGGTTGTATTACAGTGATATGTGCTTTGTTGGTTGTATTACAGTGATATGCGCTTTGTTGGTTGTATTACAGTGATATGCGCTTTGTTGGTTGTAATACAGTGATATGCGCTTTGTTGGTTGTATTACAGTGATATGTGCTTTGTTGGTTGTATTACAGTGAGATATGCTGCTGTTGGTTGTATTAAGGTTTTGTCTGTTTGTTTGTGAATCATTTTTGGTTATCTCTCTCTACTGTGAATGTGATACGTTGTTTACTCTTTGTACATGAGCAAGAGTGGTGTAAATGTTCAATTTCAAAAGAGCCACAAACACATTTAACTAGAGTTCAAATTCAAGTTTCTCTATATACAGATATGGAAGCATATCTCGGTGTAATACAAACACGGAATCATACCGTATTTGCAATTTTTGAGAAATAATATTATTCTAATAGCTTTTATATTGAACTCCAAAACTTACTGGCTTCAAAGGGTTATTTATAGTCTTATGAAATAAACTTTCTCTCTCTCTCTCTTTTGTTTTTTTATTCAACTGTCATTTTGCATACATTGTGTTCTGTATGATCTGTAGCCACTGAAATAAAATAGAAATTATATTATTATGATGCATAATGTGTAAGCATTAGGCTTGATGTCCTATGAATAACTGACATAAATAGCCCTTCAAGTAACTTTTGTGACATTGAGTGAAATGTCTTTATACACTTCTTTTACTGATAAACTATATTGGGCTAATAAAAGATGTTAGTTCATTAAAATAATGGTTAATAATTCTAATATCATACCAGTTAGCAAATAAACTAATTTTTTTATTCTGTATTATTCTTTGATATCCTGCATGGAAGGGTGGAGTAGAGGGATTTAGTGAATAAAGATTTTTATATGTTTTGTTCCAGAGTGTTGCAGACTGCGTTCAGTATTATTACTTAACCAAGAAAAGTGAGAATTATAAACAACTCTTGAGGAAGACCAACGTTAGGAAACGTACCCGAGCACTAGTTAGACATCCGGCTCAGTCACAATCTCAAACCCAAGTAAGATATTTTCGAGTAGAGAATTTTTACAGCTTAACACTAAGGCTAACATCCCAGTGTTAACTGATTCGTACAAATGTTGCCAGTCCTAACTGTGACTTTTTGAACTATTGTAAGTTAAAATAATATTCCACTACTAGCTGTCTATTAAGGTTCGTGCTTATTGAATAAAGGGCTCATGTTTCGGTTTCATTCATAAGTTTAAAAAATTAGTTATTTTCTTTAAAGTTTGAAATGTAAACATAAAAGCTAAGTAATGACTTTAGTTACTTTTGTCACTCAGCACATATAGTGGTTGTGTATAGAAAATTAAGCTAAAAAAATTACCTTCCATAAGAAGAGGTTTCTCTGCATCAGTTAAGAGTAGATTGAAGAGATTGTACTACAGAATGTGGGTTCTATAATTGGGTCATGGTTGCATAATCAATTAATTTAATATATAAATTATACAATACGATCTCTAAAGAATCAAGTGGATCCTTGTAACATGAATTAGTTTTCTAAAGTGTAAAGTTTGTTGTTTTTTTTTATTTAAGATATCTTATAACTGTTTTTCTCTTTAAATTTAGTTTCCAGTTTGTAATTTATTGCCATTAATAAAGGACAAATTATTCAAAGAATTACATAAATATCTTTCTTAGGCGGCGTTATCGGCTTCTGCAGCTATCACGGCTGTTACAGTTATGACATCTATAAGCTACTGTCAAACAACCAGTGCTATAGTGACCAGTCCTGTAACCACAACTACAGTGTCATTCATGGGCACATCTACTTACGCATCTCAATCTGATTTGGACAACAATCTCATAACATCAAAAACAAGCCAATCAGGCTCTGCAACAACAAATGTTGTTACCGATAACAAGTCCAATAAAACTAGGTGGGTTCTTTACTATAATTTCTTTTGTAACTTCAGTTGAGCAATCACTACCTTCATGTTGAAAAACGTTTTACTTCTCATTTTAACCTTATTTTAGATTTCTTGTGATTTTTTTTTTTTGTTTCCCTGGGGTACCAGTTTAGTTGACTATATAAGACTGAGAGTTGGGATTACCCATAAAATTTGTATTGTGGGGAAACAAAATTTCACCAAAATTATGACCTAAAATATTTGAGAAAGATTTGTTTTTTTTTCTATATTTACCAATTTGAAGCAGAATCATCCTGTTGCATCTTACACATTTGAAAACTAAGTTAGATACGTTAATAAAACTCTTTCTAAAGTCCTATACGTATTGGTGAGCATGTTTCTTTATAAATCTCACTCTGTTTCAATGTTCTAGTGAAAATAAAGATCCTGAAACGGACAAAAACAAAAGCAGACAGAGTGAAGTCAGCAGTGATGGTAAGATCTTAACTTTTTTTATTAGTTTATGATTTGTTGTTTGATTATGTTAAAGAGTGGTAGTTACAAACTTGTATCTATTATAATTCTGTGAGATCAATCAGCTTTTACAAAGTTGCTTATACCCCCCGGAAAAAAAACAAAAAACTTGAATTTCTTTTTATTTTTATGTAAGAATTCAATCGAAGCATAATTAAAAGAAAAATATGGGAAAAAATAAATAAATGCTTCTATAAGGAGTTTCCAATGAGTGAATAAAACAGTGTGGGAAATAGCAAAGACCTGATCAGTAATTACTATATCTTATAAAAATTCTACCAAATTGATGTTTTTTTATAATAAAGAATGGCCAGGTGGTTAGGGCGTTATAATGTGATGGTCAATCCCACTATTCGTTGGTAAAAGAGTAGCCCAAGAGTTGGCGGTGGGTGTTGATGACTACCTGCCTTCCCTCTAGTTTTGCACTGCTAAATTAGGGACTGCTAGCGCAGATAGCTTTCGTGTAGCTTTGCACGAAATCCATAACAAACAATAAAGAATAATGCTATGCTGATAATTTTTTCACAAAAACTATCCAATTATACTTTGCTTGTATTTGTGAGTTTCTTTGTTAAATAATTGATTTCAACTTTAAATATTCAAGTAAAATAACTGGGGTAGTCAACAACAACAACAAAAAAAACTATACATTAATTAATGATGTTCAAATATTCAAGAAAATGGTAGTACATATCACAGGTTAGATAAGAACCAATAACAATAGTAATCACAGTGTATAAAGTATTAATATGTTAACAGTAATGGCAGAAGCATAAGTACTGTAATAAAAATTAATTATGAAAACTGGAATAAGTTAAAGTAACACAATCGAATTGGGATAATAAATCGCGACTTCATAAAACCATAACAATGATTACTTTTATAGACCTGTTTCCCACAACTGTATTTATTTTATTCATTTCAGTAGAATACGACAGATTTGGAGAAATATTAGAAAACACTACTTACTATTACTAATTATTTATTACGTTAGGGTCAAACATGCAAACTACAGTTGCACATTTTCTGATAAGAGTATCGGTCAGAAATGACAGTACATCTCTCACAACTTGATAAGTAAATAAAACAATTAATTGACAATCAAAAACAATTGGTATTCCTTAGAAAAATAAAATGTACAAAATAAAGCCAAGAAAAAAAAAAAAATATAAATTTTAATAAGGAATGGAAACTGAGATCTGATGGAATTCGAACTTTTACATCTTGAATGCTTCAAACTTCAGTTGTCATTTCATTGGTTATTAAATACAGAATTTAACTAGACTCTAGAGACACACCAATAGGCTTGTACAGCTCAGAATTCACGTATTTTCTTTTGTTATTGTTGGAAGTACCAATTTTATTTAAATGGTCTAATCATAGAAATGTGAAGAATATAATGTTAGTTGCTACTCTTCAAAGTCGTAGCTACGATCTTATGAATGAGAAAACGACGTAAGGAATGAGAAATCAATTTATTTTTGCACAGAAAGTCACAGTAATAAAGCGTACGTTTACTATTTGCTTCCATAACATTCATTTGAGAGATAAGTAGTTCTTAAAACTTTATTATCAGTACATAAGCAAAGCTTGTATTAAGATATTGATTTCTACAATACATATTTAGCCAAAAAACAATTGCTGGAAAGAGAAAGGTTCACTTCAAGGAAATAGAGGGATTTGAAAACGATTTTAATTTACAGTCATGTTATTTATTTAGTACTTATTACTTATTTAGTTTCTTTTGGAAAAAAAACAACAACAATTTTTTGCAATTTTAGTTTAAATGTCATATTAAAGTGGTAGTATACTGCCTGAGCTTCAAAACAGCTTTGCTTAGAAATAATTGGGTTATAGTGAAGATACATGATGCAGTTTCTTGTTGCCATACCAGCCGTACTAGAAACAATCATTATAAACGAGTTTTTGACTGTTTGTGCATTTCTTCTTTTATTTATAATGATGTTATTTCTGTATTATACCGTAGAAATGAGTAAATTTTCTTTCAACTGTGACAAAAACTCATCTATGAATGTGTACACACTAATTAAATGGAGATTTTATTACTATCAAGCAGACTGAAATGTCATATTGAACACTAATAATTCTTCTATTCAGGTAGAAGACTTTTTCCAGGAGTGATGATTCTCTGTGGTTTTTTATTTTCATAACAATCACTTAATGTTTAGCAGTGTGGTAGTTCAGAAAAACCTTTCCCTGGACAATGTTTCCTATGTTTGTGAACAAAGTAATAGCTTGGAAACTTTGAACCACAGTTTTTACAGGGATAAAAAGCTACGTTCTTGTCGGGAGGTCGTGGAACAGAGCAGTCAGAGTCTGTTGGTACTTTCACTTCTACCATGACTGGATTTATGTGGCGCCTTTTGTGTTTTTCATAGCAGTACTTACTGCGGAAAGAGTGTTTACAATATACACAGTGGTAGATGAGAGAGGAGTTGTCATGTCCTGGTTTTGTTCTTGGATGAGGAAACGTGCTGCTATTTGTCTTTGTTTCATCATCTGTGTCTGGAAATATAATACTGCTGCTAGAAGAAGAAGAATCTTGTATGTCTGCTTTAGAAACGGTGGTCACAACATGGTACCTTGAAGAAACCTCCTTAGTGGATGTATCCTTTTCCATTTCATCCCGTTCAAAAGTGTGTTTTTCATTAGTAATACCAGATTTACTGCAGCACGAGTCTGAGTTTCTTGTTGAAATTAAGGAACTGCCTGAAGTTAAGTTGGTATTTCCTGTCGAGGGTAAAGAAATTCTGGAAACTAAGTTGGTATTTCCTTTTGACAGTGAGGAACTGCCAGAAGCTAAGTTGGTATTTCCTTTTGACAGTGAGGAACTGCCAGAAGCTAAGCTGGTATTTCCTTTTGACAGTGAGGAACTGCCAGAAGCTAAGCTGGTATTTCCTTTTGACAGTGAGGAACTGCCAGAAGCTAAGCTGGTATTTCCTTTTGACAGTGAGGAACTGCCAGAAGCTAAGTCGGTATTTCTTTTTGACAGTGAGGAACTGCCAGAAGCTAAGTCGGTATTTCCTTTGGACAGTGAGGAACTGCCAGAAGCTAAGTCGGTATTTTCTGTTGATATTGACGATTGACCTGAAACTGCATTGTTGTATATTTTTGATTCTGTAGAATTGTTAAAATACAATTTGGTCTTTTCTGTTGATAATGTTGGAATGCTGGAATCTGTATTTGGTGTTGACATTAAAGATGAAACCACCCTGGAGTGGTCTGTTGGCAGAATGGAGCTGGCATCTAAGGGGTCTTTGGACAGCATGGAACTGCCAGAAGCTATGTTGTTCTTTTCTGTTGATAGTGAGGAACTGCCAGAAACTGTGTTGGTATTTTCTGTTGACAATGAGGAACTTCCAGAAACTGTGTTGGTATTTTCTGTTGACAATGAGGAACTTCCAGAAACTGTGTTGGTATTTTCTGTTGACAATGAGGAACTTCCAGAAACTGTGTTGGTATTTTCTGTTGACAATGAGGAACTTCCAGAAACTATGTTGTTTTCTGTTGACAGTGAGGAACTGCCAGAAACTATGTTGTTGTTTTCTGTTGACAGTGAGGAACTGCCAGAAACTATGTTGTTGTTTTCTGTTGACAGTGAGGAACTGCCAGAAACTATGTTGTTGTTTTCTGTTGACAGTGAGGAACTGCCGGAAGCTATGTTGTTGTTTTCTGTTGACAGTGAGGAACTGCCGGAAGCTATGTTGTTGTTTTCTGTTGACAGTGAGGAACTGCCGGAAGCTATGTTGTTGTTTTCTATTGACAGTGAGGAACTGCCAGAAGCTAAGTTGGTATTTTCTGTTGACATTGACGAATGACCCGAAACTGCATTGTTGTATATTTTTGATTGTGTAGAATTGTTAAAATACAATTTGGTCTTTTCTGTTGACATTGACGAATGACATGAAACTGCATTGTTGTATATTTTTGATTGTGTAGAATTTTTAAAATACAATTTGGTCTTTTCTGTTAATAATGTTGGAATGCTGGAATCTGTATTTGGTGTTGACATTAAAGAAGTGCATGAAGCCATGCTAGAGTGGTCTGTTGGCGGAATGGAGCTGCCATCCAAGGAGTCTTCCAGGGTTTCATTTCTTTCTAAATTGAGCATTGAAGTCAGGTGAGACGTGTGGAAGTGATAATTCTGGTTGATAACTCGCTCAAACTTGATTGGTCCATCACACTCTGCATAGTCAATAATTACGTTTTCATCCAGACACAATGTTGCTTGTGACCTCTGTGGATGTTGTTTCTTGGTGAAAGATTTCACGGATGTTGCTGTTGAGGTGGATAACATCTTCTTTTCCATTGTGTGCTGAGAGGAGTAAGTGGGTTGTTGAACAAGACTTCTCTTTCTACCAGTTATCCTTGAATTAATATTAATATTGCTTTGTGGCTTTCCTCTTGTTTTTGTAGTTGGGTTACCAATTTGGGGATGATCCATGTTATTGAAGCTTGACAAACCTTTTTGGGGAAACACTGGAATTGGTTTGAGAATGTTAGGTGTGTTGTTAGAGGATATCAGGTTATCAGCTAAATAAAAAGGAAAAGTAGGAACAGGATACTGAGGTAACCTATAACTCAAGTGTGACAAACTCCTACCAATATGTGCTAAATAACAAAAGTTAGTGGGAATCAAGCTGGAAGGTGCTGAAGGAATAGGGCAACCGACCAGTTGCCTTTGGGCTAGCAAGGATTTACACGTTAAAATAACAGTGGGCAAATTCAGTAACTGTGCTGCTACCAGTACATCATAAATGTTCTCGTTGGTCACATTGAGCCGTCCAGTGTAGAGAAACTCTAAAAGAACAGAAAATACCAAAGCTGATACTGAGGGTAAAATCAGTGGTTCACCTGTCTCTCCTTTAGAATCCAAGTGAGGATAAGAATAGTTTAACAGAGCTTTAAAAAATTCACTATTTTGTGCCAGTAAGTTTCTGTGTACTTTAAACGTCTCTCCTCCTGCCATTACTATTACTTCTTCCGAGAAACAGTCGGGATGTTGTCTCCTCCACATCGTGAATGTTTTATTTCTGTACAAATGAGAGAAAAATAAGGTCTGGATTGGAAACTCGTATTGTTTTCTTATTTATGGAATAAGTTTTCCCATTTCTTTATTCAGAACTAGCATGACAGTACTAGTGTTTTAAGTTATGCTGTTACTTTTGTGATAATATTTTTTAAATACAGTGTTTTCTTATAATCACATGTACTTCATTTAAAACGAATTGGGGACTTTTATTTTATAAAAACCGATATAATTTGGAAACTATCTTTTATTAAAATAAATTTTTGAATAAAATGTTACTCTGAGAATCAATAAGGTGGATACACATTATCTTTACCATAATGAATTATATTTGATCCTTTATCAAACTTAAGGATAACAAGTAGACTATTCATTTTGTGTTAATGTTATATACCATATTTGATACTTTATCAAAACTTAAGGATAAAAAGTAGACTATTAATTTTGTGTTACTGTAATATATGTTATTTGATCCTTTATCAAACTTAAGGATAACAAGTAGACTATTCATTTTGTGTTACTGTAATATATGTTATTTGATACTTTATCAAAACTTAAGGATAACAAGTAGATTGTTCATTTTGTGTTACTGTAATATACGTTATTTGATACTTTATCAAAACTTAAGGATAACAAGTAGACTATTCATTTTGTGTTACTGTAATATACAATATTTGATACTTTATCAAAACTTAAGGATAACAAGTAGACTATTCATTTTGTGTTACTGTAATATATCGTTATTTGATACTTTATCAAAACTTAAGGATAACAAGTAGATTATTTATTTTGTGTTACTGTAATATACAATATTTGATACTTTATCAAAACTTAAGGATAACAAGTAGACTATTTATTTTGTGTTACTGTAATATACAATATTTGATACTTTATCAAAACTTAAGGATAACAAGTAGACTATTTATTTTGTGTTACTGTAATATACGTTATTTGATCTTTTATCAAAACATAAAACTCTCATAGATTACCAACAGGTTTTCACCATAATGAACTGTATTTGATCAGAATTTAAAGGTAGACAAGGTGACTAAACACTATATTTGTATTCTGTATGTGATCACCACAGTGGACTCTATTTGTCCATTAGTCTTTTCTGTACCAGAAATGTTATCTTAGCTAAAAATTACCTGTTTAATAAGACTTAAAATTCTTTTAAGGGTATCCCTGGAAAATGACTTGTTTTAGTGGACGTGTTTCAGAGATCCATTATTATCTATAAAGACAAACGATTAGTTCATTTACTGTCCTATGATTGGAAACATGTTTTTGACAGTTTGTGTTCTCTTGGAACATTTGCAAATCATGCTAGTTATTATCATACATGTTGCATAAAATCAAGAAACGAACATCATCGTCTAGGAAGAAACAACCAAACTGTAATAAACTCGAGGTTTATTTATGTAATATCGTTAAAAGTAAGGCAGTCTCAGCAATTAGCTAGTCCTTAGACTGTAATTTCGGTCAAATGAAACTCCTGGTATCCAGGCCTCTTTTAAGTCTATTTTGTCATTAATTCAAAAAATTCCATTATTTTTACCCAAGAGAATAATGTTTCTGTTGAATCCGTTAGATCATTCAGTATTTGTAGTGTTCATATAACTTTATCGCTTAATAAAGTCAAAAAATAAATTAACTAAAGTGATTACTGTATTCAGTATAAAAAAAATCAACAGACAAGTTTGAGGACATTCTTACCATTTAAACTTGGTTGTTCCACTTAGTTTCTTAACTGTGGTTTCCAAACTAACTTTAGTTTGGTTTTCCTTGGATCGTTAGTATATTGTAGTTTCCTCTCGAGCACGTCGGTAAGATTTTTCTCTTTCTTCTAGGTTATCGTCACTGTTAAGAAGATCAATAAATACTTTTCTTCTGGGTTGATTTTTTTTTTCTCATGTAAGTCATTGATTATATCTGTTGTACCTACGAAGTTGTTCTGTGAGGTTTTTCTTTTAGGGTGTTGTCCCTTTCAAAATAACTTGAACCCTCTAGGCTTTGGACTTCTTGATGTAGACAACCGATCTGTTGCTAATTTAATATAACCTCCTAACTTCGTTTTGGTTAACTGTTGTATTTATCAAGTAGTTCACTAAGTTTTGTTAACTATTCTCCTCCATTTACTGGTAGTTCGTTTTGGAATTGTTACCCGATTTAAACATTGATTCAAGTAGACGACACCAGGTTTGTTTTGGGGGATTCGTGTCCTTGTTTGTACATGATTATTCAACTACTATAGCTTGTTTTCTGTGTCTTAGCTCTCGGGTTTTGTGAAGATGGAAGGTTTTCGCTACTGGTTTAACTCTGGGAATTCGATATTATATGAATACAAATATATTACTAGTTCCGAGAGGATTGTATTTCAAAGGTGCTGGCCAATGAACGAGCTTGTTGTTCACGTGCTACGATCACAGAATACAGCATAAAGTGTACAGAGTCTTCCAGTTTCTTTGTCACGAAACACGCACGTCATTCATAATTAACCGTACGAAAATTATGTGATTTTTAATGTTCCCTGAATTGGAACACTTTGTTTGGACTTACTGTTTGTCTTTCAAAACGAATGTTGTATCATCGAGGCCTGTGGGGATTAAGTAAGAGGTACTTGATGAAAACGTAATTCCTTCCAGCCATATCCTGTTAAAAAAAAAAAAAACGCATGTTAGATGAAATTGATACGGCTGAGTGAATTGATTAGCTAAACAGAGAGCTGTAATAACAACTTGCCTTCTGGCCAGGTGGGGTTTAGGGAAAAGGGGGGTAGCCTTTGTAGTTTACGCAAGTATGACCTTCTAGAATTTGCTGTCTTTATTTACACATAGTGTATGTTCTATATGCCACATCGGGCTGGCATATTGCAAGTGGACATACATTCTAATTAGATAGGTACTTATTATATTTCCGCTTATGGTCACTTAATATTGTCACTTATCTGTATTGTGTGACTATAACTTTTCTGGCTGTTATAAATATTTATAAAAACATTACATTTGTAGTTTATCTGGTTTATTTTATCTGATAAAATTTGTTGCAATTCGGTTTGCAGTGATCGTTTTATCTTTGGTAGATGGCGCTAGTAAAACTAACTTATATAAATTGTGTTTGCTCTCCAGTTTTTCCTTTGAATGTTTATCTATGATGATATAGCTTCATTATGATAAGATATTATCACGTATACTTTGTGGCACCTCTAACTCCATCTTTTCTCGATTATTTTCATATTTTAATAGCAACGCTACAGTTAGGCCTACTTTCTGTGGATTTTTGTTGTTAGACAATGGCGTGTTTTAATCGCATTTAAGACAACAAAAGCTGTAAGTGCTGTTTGATCTAATTTACTTGCATGACGTGATACCATATTTTATACCCACAAATACATATTTTACAAGAAATACGATTGGCCACCGTGTGTATCTAAAGTCCTATGGAACATTAGGCCTAAGATGTGAGGAAGAATTTCATTGTGAACACTTTAATTTAAAGGGTTAGTGAAAGATAAGTGTCCCGAATCCCATGTTGGTTGTAATTATTAGTAATTGACTGTATACTGGCGGTACTTTACGCCGTTTAGTTGGACGTTATTAATACTCCGTTTACTTTACAAAGCAACGGCACACCTCATGATGACGTTTTTCTGTTTGGTGTGGAGATTAATATGCCAGACCAAACATTTCATTGTTATTCTGTCGCATAATACAGTTCCATGATTAATTACAAACGCATTTAATTATAGAGATGCAGATGTTACAGCGTCCATGTTTTACAATTCTTTAGCTTTAATTTTCTCGTATAGATGTCGCTCTTAAATTATCGATAGTTTTTACTTATAGTGATTAAGTACCACTTTAATGTGGCAACGTGTTATTTGATATTATTCATATTTAATAGTATTTTTATACAGAATTCATACTCTTTTATTAATTACCATTAATTAATTCTATTAGTGTCGGCTTGAGCGAAACCCGGTTTTTAGTGTGCCGCACTGTAAATCCAAGGCCTCAAGATTCGCGTCAGTTGCCATGAGTCGCGCTTCTGACCTTGGCTTCCTGGGTGTGTTATAAGAGTGATGTTAAAATATCATAATTGGATTGGAATAGCTCAATTTTTGCGGTGGGTGCTGTTAAATAGCTGCCTTTTCCTTTAATCTAGCAGTTCAAAATTAGAAACGGCTATTGCAGATAACCTTTGTTTAGCTTTGCGCAAGGCCTGGTGGTTAGAGCGCTCGACTCGCAATCTGTAGGTCGAGAACTCGAACCTCACCACCGAACATGCTCCCCTTTTCAGCAATGCAGACGTATAACGTAACGGTCAATCCCTCATTTTCGTCGATAAAGAATAGCTCCAGAGATTTCGGTAGGTGCTGTTCACTAGCTACCTTTTCACTACTCCAAATCAGCTCCAGATTGTGTAGATAATTGTTGTGCAAAGAAACAAACAAATCCTTAGTGTTCTCGAGTACCTGACGATCTATTTATGAAATCGTCAGTTTAGTAAAAAATAATTTGTCTGGTAGCTATTTAAGTAACCAGAGGACATAGAAGAGATTGATATGTATTTTTAAGGGTATGCAATGATATATATTTTTAGGGCATATAATGATATATATTTTTAGGGCATACAATGATACATATTTTTAGGGCATACAATGATATATGTTTTTAAGGGCATACAATGATATATATTTTTAGGGCATACAATGATATATTTTTTAGGGTATACAATGATGTGTGATGCTACAGTTCTTAGTCTTTAGAGGTGTAGGTCGAGCGTGGCCTAGTGGTTAGAGAGCGGGACTGTATGTATATTCGTAGTTCCGTAACTCACACCCAGGGTGAAATGGCGAGTAGTAGTAGGTTACGGAAGGTCTTCCGAAGTCCTCACAGAACACTTTTACGAAGTTCTCAACATAATATATCAAAGCTTTAGATAATAAAACTTTACTCGAACGTCACACGACATTTTATTTTGTTAAATCATGGAAAATTATTTAAATACTAAACTATTTCTAATTTTCCTAAGCCTAATGGAAAATAATAAGCACTCAGTAACGCGATGTAAATTTATTCGAAGTAGTGTTTACTGGAATGTAATTATATTTCAGTGTCGTGATTTATTAATTAAAAGGAAGTGGAATGTGAATGCATATAAGTGTTCAGAAGCGTATAAGTAACGTAGTTAATTATAGGTGAAATTGGGTTTAGTTATTGCAAGCCAAAAGGAAATCCATCAATTTCCGACAAACCATGTTATTTCGGTTGTTTACCTTTTTGGCCAGGTAAAATTAACGGTAAAGCATTTACAAGAAACATTCTATGGGATATGCCCTAAGGATGTGGAGCGCCATCTGGCGTGAGTAAACTTGGGGAAATTGTTCGATAACTTGAGAGTTAAAAAAAAATGCAATATCGTATTTTCTGGCAAGTTCAGCGAAACATCTGTTCAGCGGGGTTGCCAGCTATCAATTTCAGTAATAGCGCACTTTAAAATATTCGTGTACAATGGTTTATTTTTTTTTCTATTTATTTATTTATTTATTGATTTCTGACGAAAAGACATACTCCATATCTCGAACGAGGCAATTAGAGGATCATTGTTGGCAAGTCCTTGGCCTCTCGGGTAATCAGAATAACGTTCTCGTTACCCGTGGCTGTTGATGCGCAATCACTCTGCTTTTAGTGTTCGATCTCGTGACCGGCACATGCTGTGTTGCTTCGTGAGCGACAACGAAAACGCGATCACTTAAATCATTGTTTATTATTCTATAAATTATGGACAATAAAGTGAGTCAGGCCATCCAATTTACTGTTAATTTACGGAAATTCTTTGTTCTCAGCACGAAAATAAAATAAAATTAAAGGTGTGTAGAAACATCCGTATTTCATTTTCATATTAACTGCTCTTCATATTCTTCGTAATGGATACCACACATGAAGTTCAAATGTTATTAATGTGTTCATCTAACATTTCTCTTGGTGTTTAGTTTCGATTATTAGTATTACCTGTTTCAGAAAATTTGGCATCTTCTTTATTTGAACTTCTTCATTGGTTTTTTTTATTGACGATATTTAAAGCAACCCACCTCCCCGTAGCTCAACGGCAAGTCTTTAAAGATCAGACATGTCTCGACTCCATCTTTTCTTGGGGGGCGGCCATGGCCAGGTGGTTAGGGGCGCTCGACTCGCAATCTGAGGGTCACACCAAACATGCTTGCCCTTTCAGCCGTGGGGGCGTTATAGTGTTTCGGTCAATCCCATTATTCGTTGATAAACCCGAGAGTTGTCGGTGAGAGGTGTTGACTAGTTGCCTTCCCTCTAGTCTTACACTACTAAATTAGGGACGGCTAGCGCAAATAGCCCTCGTGTAGCTTTGCGCGAAATTCTACAAACAAACCATCTTTTCTTAAGTTCGGAGGGCGGGCAATGAGACATGTAATGGGCCAAATATAATTTCACCCCCTTTAACTTCACAGAAACGTAGTATTAAAATTGGAACGTATGACCTTCCGTGTGTGTGTGTAGGATTGACGACACTTATAAACAATACTCTCGGGTGGCGGAGTGTGACATAATTGAGTTCTTCGCCGTCATGGTTATCGATTATAATTTAAATTTTTACACCAACAGAAATGTGACTTTACTATAACAATGAATATATTTTTAATAAAGAACATTGTAACCACTCGACTGCCAACGAGGCCGTTCGCACAATACCAAATGTCATCAGGTTTGCTGGGAATTCAACAAAGAAAGCCTCTGTCGAAACGCTGTTAATATCAGCCGTTTGCTCTATATCAATTATCATGGTACATAACACGGTATACTGAGAAGCGTGATCTGTTAAACAGTAGTTTTTGTGATATTATCTTTATATATACTGTTATATAATACTTATTGGAGACTCGCACAGGTCAGTAAATAAATATTTGTTAACTATTATTATCTAATCAGAAACACCTTAGGTGTAAAAAAAGGGGGCGGGATGACTTAGCGTGCAATTTAAAGGAATGAAATCAAAATTTAGCGGCCAAACTGGTAGCTACATTTGTAGCATTGATAAAAATTTAACAGCAAATATTCATTCATTAGTTAGCCAGGCCGCGTATTTTATTCCTTCAAGTCGCACGTTCAATCCTTATTTTGGCCGCACCCCTTTTTTTCACACCTAAGGCGTGACTAAATATCATGACTTTTTTGTCAACACCCACCAAAATTTTTGTTCAAAATTTAGCGATTTTTGTTGAATAACTTTGTACATGTTGCTTATATTTATACTAAATTTGACACATAATTGTAGGCTGTAGAGATCTATCAGTGTACCAAATTTGACACATAATTGTAGGCTGTAGAGATCTATCAGTGTACTAAATTTGACACACAATTGTAGGCTGTAGAGATCTATCAGTGTACCTAAATTTGACACATAATTGTAGGCTGTAGAGATCTATCAGTGTACCAAATTTGACACACAATTGTAGGCTGTAGAGATCTATCAGTGTACCGAATTTGACACACAATTGTAGGCTGTAGAGATCTATCAGTGTACCAAATTTGACACACAATTGTAGGCTGTAGAGATCTATCAGTGTACCAAATTTGAAAACAAAAAGCCCTAAAAGTTACGTATGTTTTTCTATCAAATAATGTTTCCGTACTTTTGGTGCGAAGGTGATAAAAGTAGAAAGAACTTGAATCAAAATTTGAGATGTTATATCTGCTGTATTTTTGTCACGGATTGCCTTTAAATTTGGTATGTGAAGTAAGGGTCCAGTAGAGTATATCCACAGAAAATATATGATAGTTTGGATTACCACAGTCCGAGCTACAGAAGGTGGAAAATCACCTAACTATCACTCCGAGCCACAGAAGGTGGAAAATCACCTAACTATCACTCCTGAAAGGCTTTTTCTGGTAATTAAACAAAAACCATCCGTTACTACCATTTTGATAATCATTAACATCTGATCAAAGCAAGTAACCTCTAGCCATTAGTAGCAGTGGGTACCTTCACTGTTAGCGATATTCTCGGCCTTAATCCCAATAATAGCTCACGAGGCTCACAGTTTAGGAAGTATAAGTTAGTCCTTATTCCAGTTATTAAGTTAACAATGCCAAATAATCACCAGCTTAGAACAGAAGAAAAGTAATAGATATACTAAATACTTCAACCAAAACTGTTACTGAAACTAACGTTAACACAGTAATAGGCTTAAACATTTTCAAGATACAAACGACAACAACAAATAAAAAAGGATGAAACGTATTTGGGTTTTTCGTCATCGTCAGACATCTTTTAATGATAAAGTCAGCTCAGACTAGTGATTCAAGTTGCATATAGGGGAAGATTAAAAAAAAAATGTCAAGTTTGGATTAAAATCGTGACAGTGAAATATTGTGTACGTACTTTTGTTTTGTTTGAGACTGTTGAATATCCTATACCCACTCGTGTTTTCGATATATCTTCTTTGAAGTAAGAAAGGGAAGGAGGGACAAGCACTCCCTAATAATTCCTCCAACCTTGGCAGAATTGTAGATGTGTTTTTAAAGTGAATGACTGGAAACGGATCCGTAGCTATTGTTTAACATGGAAATAACTGGAATTTAAAAATAATATGGTATATAATTCAATTATTATTTTTAGGAAGTTAATGGCGACAAGACCAGGGTTACGTTAATAATTACATACGTCATCAATCACCAGTGGCTTAAATAAAATTGATAAAAATCACACGTCAGCCTTAGACTGTTCATATTGTAACAGTAGATATGGTGTTGTGGTTGATACAAGTTTATTTATATTCACTCAGAAGTTCTTATTAATAATCTTAAGTGAGCGTTACGTATAATCTACCAAGCTTTGCCGCAGAAACGCGCTCCGCACTTTGCGGCTGTGGGATCTTTATAATATTGACGGACAAATCCCACTATTCAATTAGAGTAGCTCAAGAGTTGGCGGTGGGTGCCATTAACTGATTGTCTACCCTCTAGTTTATCAATTCAAAATTAGGGACGGCTAGTGCAGGTAGACCTTGTGTACATCCGCGCGAAATTAAGAAATAAATATAATATACGCTTTATTTGATTTATTTAACAGATGTAATTTGTCTCCGATCGGTATTTTATCTCTCAGCTAATGTCTGGTCGATTGTCTTTTTTTATTTTTATTTATAAGTCGGTGCATGGTGTGGGAATTAGAAAATGATCTATGTCATAGTTAAATTAATTTTTAAACGAAAAAAAATTAAGTAATGCTTATTTTGAGGACAGTTTATTCCATTAAGATATTTGCAATTAATTTATACCCGGTATATAAAAAAAAAAAAAAAATAGGATAGCGCCTCCAAACGGCAATGGGTGATAACACAGTTTGGTTTTTGTTGCTACATCAAGTTCACCAATTGTAAGGCATATATATATATATATATATACATGTATAATACTTAAATTGCTCGTATTCAACTATGCTAATTAGCTCTTTTTTTTCCTTTTTAAGTAAAATGTGTTCAGATAGTTTTATTGGTCGTTTTGCTGGTAAATATTCTTACACTGAACATGCCTCCTGTATTTCCTAAATACGCGTCTAGTCAATTATTATGAATAAAGATATTTCCCCTGGGCAACATTGGTGTCACTATGCGTGACAAATTTACCTTCAACTGTCAGTAGTTTGGTCTAATCACGTTCCGGTTTGTTGCACATTGGAAAGTTGCATGTTGTCTTGGTTATATCCCTTTATAGCGTCTATATATATATGTCATTCGGAGAAATAGCCCCCCCCCCAAAAAAAAGTGGAGGTTTAACCTAAGCATGAAAATTGATCTATTGTATTTGCTAGCCGCGTGTTTCATGAGTTAATAGCCATAATAATAAATGAATTGTTTGTATTGTAATGTTTTTCTAAATATTATGTCGACTAAAGTAAATAGTGTGTCATGAAATGTGTGTGTGTGTGTGTGTATGTCTGTATACATATATCAGTTTAAGTGACATTTTAGGAAATGTATTTGTACAGTATTTTCGGTTTGGCTTATTTGACTAAAACAAACAATTTCTGCCATTAAGTTCAATCTACAGCTTAATACAAGTATTGCTTATTTTGAGAACAGTTTATTCCGTTAAAATATTCATCATTAATTAAGTATAAAGTATGCAAAATGAGTGTGGCTCTCCCTAGCGGCAATAAATGTAAATAAACATATAATTTTTGGTTTTTATAACTATACAAAGTTCAATATACAGCTTAATCTAACTAATACTTATTTTGAAGACGATTTATTTCATTAAGATATTTCTCATTGAATATGTTGTATGACAAATGAATGTAGCGCTCTCTAGCGGTAATTAGTGAAAGTAATATAATTTTTGGTTTTTGTTGCTACACCAAGTGCAACCATCATTTGTATGGCCCAATTTAACCACAACTTTGTGGTTAAGCCAACAGTGGTGCATAAATTAGCCTGACATAACATAGGCCTGCATAAAAACGTAAAATATTGCAGGCCTTAGAAAACTATTCAGAATTAGCGATTTTAAAGCTAGTAAAAGTTAACTGATATTATTTTTTATATTTGAGTTTTCGCTAATAGAAAGTCATGAAACAATCAATTTTGAATTATTAGTACCCTCTAGATGCTGGTTTTTAACTTGTACTACTGAAATGATAGGTAAACATACTGTATATGTGTGTAAACTTTCAAGGCTTTAAAAAAATATTTGTTATATAATATATTTAAAAAGCTATCTGTTTGAAAATTAAAATTATGTTTTAGTATTTTCATATTTGATAGTGTTTGTGTGTGTTATTAATAAGAATTTTTGAGTAAAATTAAATAAGAATATATAATAACATATCTATCATACCACACTTGCTATATTCAGTGGACGTGAGGCCTTTCACCCGATACCGGGACTCTTCAGGCTGGTTGGGATACGACTATTTATTTTAGAAAGTTACTTGAATAGCAAGTGTTAAAATCGGCTCGATTAAGTGGAAATGTAATTTTTATTCAATTCTATTTGTCACTACACATAAGAATTAATTTCAGGATATCTTAACATTCTAACACCACGTGTTATCAATTATCATTTTTCAAAATTAACCTGCTCATTATCGTAGAAGAACTGGTGAACCATAAAGCTAGTCTATCTGCTATACTAGTGAAATGATTTTTTAGAACTGTTCGACTATAGCAGATCAACGAATTTAATGTAATGTACTATACCGCTTAAAATCTTTTAAGATGCTATTTTTTGGCATATTGTTACTTTTATTATCCCTGTTTAATTCCCTCAAGTAGAAATATGATTTTGAATTTGAGAGTAGTAATTTCGATGTTCAATGACGTAACTATGATTTTTAGACTGATAACACTCGTTTAGAGAATCTGTCTACTCTGGAATTTCCAAAAAATAAACAGTGATTGCTCCATTGGAAGCCATATTATGTAGAGGAAAAACAAATTAGACATTCAAAAAAATAAATTAATTAATTCTTAAATAAGCAGGATAAATAATTTCAGAAAATAAAAGATCTCTGAGGTAAAGATGTTTTGTGGGGCTGATTTAGTGAAAGTTGTTATGAAAACTGGTAAAATAACGGTTGTTTATTTTTAGTATATGACAATAATACAGTAACATATTAGTGATGAACCAACATGGCCTTGTGGTTTGCATACCTAGCTGTAGATTGGGAGGTCCAAGGTTTGAGCCATGATATTCTCCTGAACATGTTACCAGCACATTATCATCACTGATCATGGACTTAAAATCATGAGTGTCCTACAGGGGTTTATTAAGAACGGGCTTTCTTTTCTGTTTTATTAATTTATAAACTTGACATTTCCGTAATGTTATTTAAAGCTTTATTCGTATATGAGGCTATATTTGTTATTTTACAATGTTAGGTAATAAGCTTCTTCCATGAAATAAAACACATCTATAAATCTCTTGTACATTGTTTTTCTTTTTAAACGGTATTGCTTTTTTTATTTTTTATGATGCTTTAAATGTAACATAACTAGAATTAAATGGCAATTAAAAATTTGAGAATCAAAAAGTAATTGTAACTAGTTACAACATTTACTTCTTATCGTCTTTTAGGAGGAAGTGGTTATTTTTGTGTAATGTGTAAGATGCAGGTGGAAAATTCCTCTCAGTCCCGTCCTCTCACTAAGTCCAACTGTGATACATTTGGTGTGAAAGAGTCTGAACTTACTCCCGAAATGCGAGTATGTGCAACGTGTCGCTTCAAAACAATACAGAGAAGGTAAGTGCACAGCAGCCATTAGTTAAGAAAATCCAGTGGGAGATAAATATAAGTAGTAAATTGATGCTATTTTGTGTATTTCTCCCTCACAAAAAGAACTTTGTGATATTTGTGATTTAGAGAGAGAGAGAGAGGCGTTAAAACTTTTTTATTATTATTAATACTTAAAAGGATAATAACTTGTAAAAGTAATTATTAAGTAATTTATGCTAAAACATATTCAGAATTTTTGTCCTCGTCCCTTCTGACATATCTTTCATGAAAATATTTTTCCAGACTTTGAGTTGATGATGTCTGGGTAATTGACAAGTTCATAATGGCACATTCTTCACTCTTCCTGCTTTTTGACAGGATTAATCCCATGTGATCAGGATCACCAAAGAAAGCTGATCTCACCCCCACCCTCCCAATTAGGCTGAGGGACTTACACTATGGATTAATTTTCATATTTGTGTTAATCCGATTGGAATAACAATTGATGTTCTACAGAAATTACCATTTGGAGACCCCCCCCCCATCAAGAAATGAGCCCCTGTTTATGGTGAAAGTTTTCCCATTCAGTACGCACTGCCATCCATTTGCCTTCCCATTAGTCATTTGTTCAAAGTTGTGACAGTGGAAGATAGCCATAGTAACTTTTTTATAACCAAGATGGGATGAGCAACTTTGGTGGCAATGGAAATCGAACCTCAGACCCTCAAGTCACGAAGTAAAGAAAAATCAACAACAATGTATTAGGCTAAAATTGGGAAGAGTACAGATATTCCATTCTTACAACAAAGAATCGTTATTGTAAAATTCTAATTAGTTAATTAGTATGACCAATGAAAGCAAATATTCTTAATAGTTATAAAAAAATGTAAAAGTATTATGGATCTGTAAGTGAGTAGTGAACTTAAAGGCAGGTGTAGAAACGTATTCATTTGTCCCCAGCAGGATCAACATTTTCCACCCAATTATTAGTGTAAATTATTTTGACTCCTGCAGTCTAATAGTAAGTATAACTCCTGATTTTCATCTATACTCTTCCTCGGCATATCCTATCACTCTCTGTAGATTTTGAACCCTAAGGAACTGAAGTTTTCCCGAATCGAGATTTGAAATGTTGGTACAATATCTCAATAATTTTGAAATCAAGAATGTTTTTTTGGTACTTCTGTTTATTCTAGTTTTTGCATTTTATTTTCTAAGAAAGTCTGGTTGTATTTTATGAGTTGTTGATGACTCCTTTGTGAAATATGTATCCTTTTTTTTAAGTATGTTTAACAGTATGGAAGAAAAGTGCTAGAGAAACACACGTGCTGGGTATGGAAAATTATTTTGTAGGTTTGTAAGACATAAATTTGCTTAATTTATTTATTTTTTCTTCTGCAGATGTCCAATTCCATCATGTAAAACTCCAAAACGGAAAGTAAAACGATTACGACTTCTGCCTGGGATGTGGTTGGAGTTACCTTGGGAACTAAAGAGTTCCATCATTTCAGAACTTTGTAAGTTACATTTTGTATTTGCTAAATACTACAAAGACGAAACAAAATTACTTCTAATATAGATAGTTCCTAAACTTAAATATTCTACTCACTTCCATCTTTCAAGATTTAAATAATATAATTTCATTATTTGACTCTCTCTCTCTCCAAACCTTAGATGAAAAATAGTTAATTGTTGAAACATTTTCTACGTAATGTTACAATTACTTGTATGTGTATATATAGACATGTTTATTATTTGACTCTCTCTCTCCCAACCTTAGATGAAAAATAGTTAATTGTTGAAACATTTTCTACGTAATGTTACAATTACTTATATGTGTATATATAGACATGTTTATAGATTCGGACCCAAGACCCATTCTAGAATACCCACATCTTTAAAACAAACTACACTAACCTCAATATAGATATAGGTGTGCATGCATGCACAAGGTTCTTGAAAGTTTCTGTAAAGCCAGAAATATTTTGAAGGTTTATCTGTCTTGTTGGATAATTAAAACAAAACCCTACAAAACTACTTTGATATCCTCTCAAAGTTCTGAAACGTCGTTAAATGTTAAATCTCTATTTAACATTTGTGATTAACGGTCATTAGTCATACTCCAGTCAATTTCCTGCAAATCCCTTCATTGTAAGGTAAATGATACAAAATTTTATAGCAGTATATGACTGATTTTTTAAAATAACAGAGCATTATATCTTGTGTGATTGTGTATGTATTTCAGCCATCCCTCCAGATATCACCAGATGCTGTACGGCTTGCCATAATCGTATAGTTCGTAAGTTGGGAAATACACCTAATTCTGAGGGTAGGTTTATGTTTTCTGTAAAGAAACTTTTAGGTGTGATATGATGGTTATTTTTTTACTCTCTACATAACTTAGCTTACCAAAGTGTTTTTCCTTTTTCACACCTTCCGAGAATTAACGAAAAAATAAATCGGCAAAAGGGAACCATTCTAATGGTAACGGTGACCAATTTTTTACTGTGGAAAATATATTAGTAGTTTTGAGATACAAGTAATAATGGTTGGATGAGAGTTTAAAAGACACGTAAACAGCTTCAAATAAATGTAACAAATTGTCAAGGATTAGAGTTATAAACAAATAAAACACTAGTGTAACCACCGGTTCGACCAACAGCTTCAAATAAATGTAACAAATTGTCAAGGATTAGAGTTATAAACAAATAAAACACTAGTGTAACCACCGGTTCGACCAACAGCTTCAAATAAATACCCAAGTTATAAGAAATAATCACTGCAATTCTAATTGATCAAAACAATATTGTACTAATTTTGATCTACATATAATAATTATTGCTGTTAAGTTTTTGCTTTCTCTAAATTTTATTACTTGGGAGAATTTTTTTTTTTCCTAAAATGTCAACATCTGTTCAAATTCAAAATTTCTAAATGTTCGTTTCAGTGACAATTATCAAATAAAAATTACATATCACATAACACACCGGTCAAATTGGCTGCAGTAGTGTTTTATTTGTTTCAAACTAGAGTATTTGTTATTGTATAGTTTAAACTCTTAATTAGACTAACTGCAATACTGTTTTGTTTGTTTGTAAAATTTGGATATGATTATTCAAATGATTATTTTCCCATTAACTGTTGACGGTCTTTGCTTCATCTCTTACAGCAACTGAATCGTCAAGGTGGACAGAAGAAGAGACGGAGATTGCAAAGCGAGGCTTGAAGGAACATGGAACTAACTGGGCAATCATAGCTGAGATGGTGGCCACCAAAACAAAAGAACAATGTAAAAATTTCTACTTCAACTACAAACGAAAATATGGTCTTGAAGAAATTGTTCAACAATATAAACAGGTAAACACACCACAGACCAAACTGTTTGTTGGTCCGTATCGTAGAATATAAGCAGGTAAACACACCATAGACCAAACTGTTTGTTGGTCTGTATCTTAGAATATAAGCAGGTAAACACACCACAGACCAAACTGTTTGTTGGTTCGTATTTTAGAATATAAGCAGGTAAACACACCACAGACCAAACTGTTTGTTGGTTCGTATTTTAGAATATAAGCAGGTAAACACACCACAGACCAAACTGTTTGTTGGTTTGTTTCTTAGAATATAAGCAGGTAAACACACCACAGACCAAACACTTTGTTGGTTTGTATCTTAGAACATAAGCAGGTAAACGCCCCATAGACCAAACTGTTTGTTGGTTCATATCTTAGAACATAAGCAGGTAAACGCACCATAGACCAAACTGTTTGTTGGTTCGTATCTTAGAATATAAGCAGGTAAACACACCACAGATCAAATTGTTTGTTGGTTCGTATCTTAGAACATAAGTAGGTAAACGCACCACAGACCAAACTGTTTGTTGGTTCGTATCTTAGAACATAAGTAGGTAAACGCACCACAGACCAAACTGTTTGTTGGTTCGTATCTTAGAACATAACCAGGTAAACACACCACAGACCAAACTGTTTGTTGGTTCGTATCTTAGAACGTAAGCAGGTAAATGCACCACAGACCAAACTGTTTGTTGGTTCGTATCTTAGAACGTAAGCAGGTAAATGCACCACAGACCAAACTGTTTGTTGGTTCGTATCTTAGAATATAAGCAGGTAAACACACCACAGATCTAACTGTTTGTTGGTTCGTATCTTAGAACATAAGCAGGTAAACACACCACAGACTAAACACTTTGTTTGGTTCGTATCTTAGAAAAAGATGTTCTCATTTTTCCAGTGTTCTAGCCAGATTAATGCAAGACAGTTATGTACATTCCGTGCACAAATTTGAGTTTTTATAGGTTTGTAAGCCTAAGCGAGGTTGTGATGATAATTGTTTTTCGATGTCTAGTTGATTCTAATTATTTTATGCTGGGTTTTAATGAAACTTGCCAAAATAATAATAAGATAAAAGACATCTTCTGTGGTAGCTTTCTGATTATTAGATTCAAAGACCAACAGTTTACATGCTAGTCAAAAACTACAGTATAATTGGTAGTAAAAGATTTGTTTTTAACCCTAGAATCCCAGCGTGGGGTCACTGTGACCCAGTACAAGTTAAACCTGTACACTAAACTAACCATATTGGCATTCTATGGTTAACATGTATATCATGAGTAGTAACTGTGTATATCAGAAAGATGTTTTACATGAAGCCATCCGGCATGACTCCTTGCCATATCCACACCTTCATGTTAGTCAAACCTGTATCACCTCATTAAGTAATCTAACTAAGCATAGTTTAGTCACCTTAGTAACTTGTGTTACTGTAGTAACTGATGTTTAGTAACTAGTACCACATGTATTCAACTTTTAGCATTTTCTGCTTCAAACAATTACTATAGAAATCTTAAATTTTTTGGTTCTTAAACAGTTTAAAAATGTTACAAAAATAAATATAGGTTAATACCAACCAATCATTGTTACAAAATAAATATAATAGGTTAATACCAACCAATCATTGTTACAAAATAAATATAATAGG